TGAAAGTGAAAAATGAGTTTGCTCAAGTTTTGCTCACCCTTCGGAGGAAAAATATTTTAGTTTCGCCTTAGCTGACATCGAAGTTTTGTTGCTTCAAAACCAATTTGTCTTATTGGTAGCAGGGGAGCGGCGCAGTGCAAGATTTATGAAACATGGCTCTCCGTTCGGCAGAAGCCATGTAAAGTGGCTCTTAAGCGGAACAAATACGCGTGCCCCAAATCCGAGCTAAGCTGTTAATTAACGTCGATGATCAAAGGAAAAACCAGACTCGCATCCTGCGGCTGTTCTATCGCATTACGAGTTCATGATGTTAATTACGTACACAGGAAAAAGTACTGGACTTAGTGGATATAATTTATATAATATGTAAGCACCTAGTTGTAGGATTATTCATTCTCAGGTGAGTTTAAAAATTCTCAAAATACCCTACATCTCTAAAAAAGAGTTTTTTCCATCATAAACATGTTTCACAAATGCCTCACTGAATTTAAATTTAATTTTCTTTGTGTGTAAGCGATTTGCAGCATTTTTTAACCTTAGCTGCAAGCCATTTGCCATTCGCAGGCAGTCCGTGTAGCATGTAGCCATATATATCCTTCTGCTCGGCTCTCGCACACATGCAGGCAATTTGCTAATGTGTACGTGCAGGACTCGACTCCTGCCACAAAGAAATTAAGCTGGGCGGAGGGGTGTTTGGGCTGCGATTGGCAAGGACGCAGGCCACAATGCGATAAGGGATAGGGGAGACCCCATAAAGCAGACGAAAGCGGAATGCACAACAAGGCTGATAAGTGGGCGTGGGCCGGTGAATAAAAGAGTAAAGTGAGTAAAGTTTGCAGCGGATTCATAAGTTTTCCTGCTCGTTTGTGCTTTTATTTTGTATTTTTTTTTTTTGGGAGAACAGAGAAATTGGTATGTCTAGTTCGAGTCATATTTTCTTCAGACCAAGAGCTGTGTCACTCCTGGGAAATTTTCATCGCAGGAAGGCAAGAAGAAAATTGCTGGTTTCAGACATTTCAGCTGCTGCAGTTCCCTCGCTGTTTTTCGGTTTTCTCAGTTTTGCTGGCATGCAATATGCAAATCTCTTTAGCCGGGGAACCGTGGGAATGGTCCTGGAAATTGCAATGCTAATGAAAGCCAACCCAAAACGAAGTGAAGTCGTGTTGTCTGCACCTGAACTTCGCTAAGCTCTCTTCGGCTGAAAAGCTGGTAGCCTAAATAGGTGCTAATGCAGGGGCCAAATAGCCAGACAGTCAGCCGAATACTTATGTCGTTAACTTTTACAGCCGTTTTTATAACTTCTCGGGCCATGATGATGTCCCTGCTGGCCAAAATGGGCCTCACACACACAGACTATACTTCGCCGATCCTATTTAGCATCCTGCAAAGTTTCGCCTGCGTGCTGGCAATTTATGCAACAGTTTGACAACATAAAAGTTTATTACATAACTTGCACTACACACGGAACGTTGGGGGTCAAACGGATGCTGAGACCAGACATTATCCATCTAGTACGCATAAAAATGGATACCAAACTCGCACTGACCGGAGGGTAGGGAACTACTACTACAGCTACAAGTAAAGCTGTAATTTAGCCACATTCTGATTTAGTTTTCAGTTTCGCTGCTGCAGGGAGAGAGGTGTGCTTCCAAGGGATATATAGTGTCTGCAGAGCACTAAGTGGCGCTTATACAAAATTATGCATATCAACTTTATGGCTGGCAGCTATTTCACACACACAAAAACCCGCCAGCTGAGATGTTTACACATTGTGGAGCAAAGGGAGCTACGTTTTGCATATATTACGATTACGCATTGTGAGTGTGATGCTAGGGTCTGAAATTCTAAGCCAGGGGCCTCAGCATATTTCCATTCTATTCCCATTTTATTCGCATTTTATTTTATGCTGCAGCGACACATTTTCCCAGCGCTCAAATTGCAAAATGCACAATGCAAAGATTTATTTTGTGCTGACAAACAGAGCGTCATTTGTTGGTAATCGATGGATAGAGCATCTGACTTTCAGACTTTTACTCACTGAGTGGCTGTTTGTCTGGCTGATTTTGCCTATATAAATCGAGGGGGTGTACAAGAGGGTGGGAAAAACTAGCAACGAATGACTGGGGATTATTGCTTAGTTGACAGCCCGGCGGAAATGTCTGCAAATCAGGCGAATTCCTTGCGATCTAAGCTAATTTATTATCATTTTTACGACTAATGCAAAGCTTACAAAACGGATCCAAATTGGACCGGGAAATGGAAATGTATACCATGCATAAATCATAACGGAATTCTATGGCATCCTTCTCCTTATTCCTATCACAATCCCAGTCCCATTCCTTTCTACGCAGGCATCTCTTCTTTTGTGCTTGATTAACGTCAACTGTTTATGGTTATTTACTTTGTGCTGCATACTTTGAGGCCATTTCCTTCTGGCGGGGATTACTTCCGCCCTTCGGCCAGATAACCAAGCAAATTACCTAGGGATACACAAAATATGATTTCATTTATTTATGCGCCTGTTTCGGTAGGGTTTCCCTGACCGTGTTTGCCTAAAATCTTTGGCTGAACAATTTGTCTTGAACTTTTTGCACGGAATCTCTGACTTTTCGCAAAAACTTTGCAATTATATAAAAGAAATTCAGGGATTTAAAAAGGAAGGAAAAATCCAGGCATGTGTCGAAAATTGTGATATTTGAATTCGCACTTAACGGCAGATTGAATTTGGTTATAAAAACTTTTCAAATAATTTATTCCATTCTGCGAATACTTGAAAAGCCAGAAGTTGGTACAATAAAAAGTACAATTTATTGCGAGAAAATGAAAATGTGCGATTAGACGTTATAAAAACTAAGCGCTGGGAATATAAAATGGCAGCAAAAGGAGATTTTGAGGACATCAAAGTGAAATTTATGCAGAAACAAAAGCTGTTTGTATGGGCGACACGCACGAGGAACACAAATACAAGGACACATGTGGATTCGGTTTGGAAACTGTTTAAAATTCTGCGTATGTGGTGCCTGCCAAAAATTTCAAATGCCTTCTTTCGGAAATATTTCCTCCTTTTCCTATGGAAACTTTTGCGAATCGCAATAATTTTTCTTGAAGGCCGCTAGACTTGCTGTGATTGTGTGTGCGTGTGTGTTAAGGCACACACACTGTCACAGCAGACTATTAGCACATATACACAAAAACACATTTGGAAAGAGAGAGGGTCTCAACAATGGCCGAGCAAAAAAGAGCTCGGGAAAAGGGGAAGGAAACGCAGAGAAATAAAACCAAAATGGCAAACAAAACAAACACAGCACAACACACAAAGCGAAATACCAAAAAAAAAAAAATAAAATGGAAAAATTAAGTCAAAATCTGCGAAACGAAAGTTATATACCCTTGCAGTTCTAATATAAATGTATATTTTTACTTGAACATATCATTTTCGTTACAGTTAAAATATAGCAAAGTTTTTTAAACCGAGTTTATCTCCCAGTTTTCTTATAAATACGATTATTCAAATATATTTTTTTCTTTAAAATTTACAGGAATAACAGTCAATATCTGAAAATAAAATATATCTTCAAAATAATAAAGACTAGTTTAAAACCGCCAAATGATGCTGACTGAGAATACTTGATAAGGATGAAAGAAAGGTGGAGTTTTAAGTACCCTCTGCAAGAGTATGAAAAGAACTAGTCCAAAGCGAAGAAAAGCTGGAGAGAAAGCAAAACGCCAGGCAAATAATACATTCAAATGGGCGAAAAAAAAACAAAGCGACGACGTTGCGTCTGTGACTAACAGTCATCGATGAGGGGGCGGTTCGGGTGGTTTTGGGTGGGATTTCGGGCGGTTCGGTGGGTTCTTTGGTTCCTTGGGTTCGGGTGGTGCGTGTTGGCAGACCGACTGAAAGCAGCTTAGCGCTTACTTCATAGTTTACGCGCAGCGAAACGACAACAAAAATGCCAAATGCTATTGATTTTCCTAGGCTCGCTGGTACTTGTACCTATCCTCCATTGGGGTTCCTCCTCCTCCCGGATCGTCTCCGATATCCGGACAGGTGCGTGCTAAAGACCCGAACAAGAAGGGAGCCATAGATAGCCCGGCTCAGACGGGTCAGCTCTTCGGAGACACTGGGAACACACAGGCTACTACAAATCGGATTTGCGTGAGTAATTGGCACGTCGCATTCTCTTTTTCGGGGCAGAAAACGTAGAGCGGAAAAAAACAAACAACACGACCGGAAGTTGTTGGTGTGAAACCTCAGCAACGACGGGCTGGGGAAAAAAAGTTGGGCAAATAAAAGCGCAATTGCGTTATATATGCCACAGAACACACCGAAAAAACTGGGTTTTTTCTTAGGCCTTTCAATTATCTCTTTTTTCACAATGCAAAACTCTTAAAAAGTTTCTATCATCCATGTTCTGGCTTCTGATTCCCAGCCAATTAGATGGAATCAGCTTAATTAATGGGTAATTTATATTAAATACATAGATCTTTATGGGGTTTTTTCCAGTACAAATTGAGATAGCATACTTTTAGGTATAATTTTGAGTCATTTTAATTCCTGAGAAATTATATCTCTATCAAATTTATACTAGTTTCTAGAAATTCTAGTTAGTTCTAGTTCCAATATTATTCTAGATCGCCAAGAGGTCTTACAATATCTTAATAAATGCTGTTAGTTTTTGGGCTTTTTCCATTCATTCATACCATTCCTTAAAAGAAACGACAATCATTTGAAAGCCCCTGATATCTGTTAATATCTAGATTATATTGATGGGTTTTTCTCCGTGCATTCCGCACTCTTGCGTCTCGGAGCGTTGGCAAATGTCAGCAGTCAGCTTAAGGCGTATTAAGTAGGAGACAGACAGGAAGAGTGGCAAACTGGGAGGCGGAGACGGACTCGGATCCGAGCCTCAGACGGGGGAATCCGAGTCGTTGGGGAGCGGAGACAGTGAATGAATGGGGCTGGCTGGATGGCTGTCGAGAAGCCATTTGGGACTTACCTCATCGATAAACTCGAAATCGCCGCCCGTCTCGCCGACGTACTTCTTCTTGTTTCTGGCCTCCGAGCTGCCAATCAGGCTGGATGACATCAACACCAGCGCCAGACAAACGCTGGCAATCAGCGGCGAGTGCTTCATGGCCGACGTCCTGGATGCGGGAACAGGAACAGGAGACGACAGTGGTGGCTACGGAGGAAGTGCTTCCGCTCGCTCGCTCTCTCGCTAGTCCTAATCACTGGTGTAATGTCCTGTGGAAAACTACGGACGCCTTCGGTTTTACGCACTCACGCACTCGCACTGGCGGAATCCACGCACACACAATCACGCAGCAACTATGCTAAGCTATGAATGACAATGAGTTTCTGTTTTCGGTTCTGATTCTGATTATGTTTTTGCTCTTGCAATCGCAGGCGCCTCCGCGGATGAAGTGCAGCCTGGACACGAAACACTGGGGAACTGAAGGCGACGCGGCCGAAACGTAAACTGAGCGCCTTCGAGTCGAGTTTCTGAGTGGCAGCCACAGCATTGGAATTTTGCGACAATTGCTCAGAGGTGTAAGAGTGCCAAAGGATGCGCTAAGAGAGCCACTGGAAGGCCTAGACTTCAGCAGGGTTGTCAAGCTAGTAAAAAAATATTCCTACAAAATAGTTATCAATGAAATTACAATTTTAAAAATTTTTTTAACAAAATATAGTTTGAAAATGAGCTTATGAAGGGTTTTATTTAATGGCATATTTTAAAAATAAAAAACTTTCAGAGGTTCGAATGTAAAAAACATAGACAAACGATAGAATTAAATAATTTTGAAAGGTATTTAAAAATATTATAAAGATTATCATTGAGTGTACAATTTTATTAATTTATTTTAACTTTAGTTTTCAAATATAAAATATTTAATTTCTTATTTTTCAGTAGGTTAATCTTATACCAACCCTTCGCCCCGTGTACCTCACTGCGTATGCGCAATATGGCCAGGCTCTCCCTCGCTTCGACTTGGACACCATCCCCTTGCCGTGGGAGCAACAACTGACAGGCCCTTCCAGAATGCCACCACCAACAAAGCAGACAGCGACTAGAAATTGTTTAAAATCGATTTTCCGTCCTCTCTTCGGGCCATCCCTTTGCCAGAGCTCTGGAATGCGCGGATTCCCTGAATTCTCTTAAGCCATAATTGCTGGAGCCAAGGCAGCGGGTCGTGAACCTGCCAGTGGCGCCCAATGCGACTTCGCATCCCAAATGGACTTGAGTTCTATTTTTTTGTCCCTGCTAGTGTTGATTTTTATGTATTGGCGCTTGGCACACTTGGACCGGGCCAACGCGGCTGCTGTTGGCCGGGAAACCCCAAAACCATTTAACGCGTCAGCATCAGAGCGTCTCAAAGGCTGGCCAACGCTGGCGAGGTCCTTTGGCTGTAGCTGGGGTCCCAGCCACGTTGTAGCCGGACCAAGGACCGAGGACCCGTAGGCTCTGTCAGTTTCAAATTAATAGCCACGCACACACACACTCTCTCTCATCGCCGCTGTGGGGTGTGCATTTATTATGTGAGTGAGCCTGTGCTTGCCTACTTTCGTCCTCATCCTCGTCCTCAGCTCCTCCGTTGCTTCTCTATTATAATGGCATCATTGACTTGTGCTTTGATGGCTGCTTTGGCCCGGAAAGGCTTCGGTTGGCCCCCACCTCCCGTTTCTCGTGTGTGTGTGCTGGATTCCGCCTCCACTTGATCCCCATTTCGGCATGGACGGCTGGCGCCGGTTGCTGCCTTTTTTGAATATTCGGCTCACACTTCCTGCTGCTGATGCCGCCTTCAGGTCCGCCTTTTTGCACTAGGGGCGCGTTACTGGCCGGAATTTGTCGGTGACCATGGGGCCTTAAACTCCGCTTCGCTGTTCTCTTGTAAAACTTTACATTTTATTGGATTTCCAAATGATTTTCAATCAACAAGTCCATGTTATGCAATATGTAGTATGTGTACAGTTATTGTTTTTCTTTCGCAGGCTTTGCAATTGCTAATCAAATTGATTTTCACACATTTGTTCAATGACTCAATAAAATGGCTTTCGACTACGCGCTACTAGCAGGACCTGTGTGCTTTGTGTGTCACGGCTTGAAGGCTAAACATTGTACAATAGATACATGACACCGCTTTTAACGTGACCGCACAAAGCGCACATTTTAATTATAAACACAAAACAAAAAATGGTATGGTAATGTGGTGGATTAATAATTATTTTTTGGTTAGTTACAAGTCTTAAACGCTTTCTAAACGAATGGAAATGCCTGGAAATGATTGTTAGTTTCGGCTGGGAAGAATCGAACCCTAAACGTAAGGTATATATATATATATGTATTTGCGACGTGCAGCAGCTGCTTTTTGTTCACTGGGCGCCTAATGTTGCTAGTTCGTAATTTTCTCTAAGTCCTACATAAAAATATATATCTTGTATAAAAACGTGAATACTATTAGCTGTGCTGCTGCCGACACTTTTTGGCCGCATTCATGTTATGGCTAATAAAAAATTGCTCGTATATCAGAGATTCCGTTTACGTTTTACAAATGCACTTTTAGAGATTCCATGCGGCTCACAATACGGCGCCGCAATTCTGCGTATCTAAAATATATTTATTTAAATAAATAAATAAAATCCGCGAATAATAATATGTAAACCCACCTTTCCTTTATTTTGGCCACTTCGCGGGCTACTTCCTGATCGTAGCGCTCCAGAATGGCACGGCACTCGGGTAGCGATAGATTTAAAAATTGAGCAACTTCATTACTAAAATAGAAAGAAAGGGAGAACGGTTAGGTAAATTTCAAAAACGAAGTTACGAATGACTTGCCTAATCTCGTCAGTTTTGCGCGAATCCACCAAAAACATACGAGCCACATCCTCATGAGGTCCCAAAGTGACGCGCGTTATCAGAGGATATTCGTCGTCCTTCAGACGCTTCTGCTCGCCGTTGTCGCGTACAATAAAGAGCGAAAAGTTGCCCGGCGAACTGTCCACCTTGTACTTCTCCAGCACCAAGTTAATAACCTCTGTGGTGGTCACCATGGAGGAGACCCACACAGACATTTGAGAACCGTAGGGGGGCGTGAAAAAGGACGTCTCCCGATTGTAATAGTGACCATTGATAGAGCACCGACGTTTCAGCTTGGTGCGAGAACTGTAGAACAACGTTTTTTTATAGTTACTAAACAGATCTGGAAATCGAAGATAGAAGAACTCACCGACGGTTGCCACTGCGTCGCTTGATGGCAGCGGCTCCAGTGCGCGGAGGTCTCCTAAGCACCACACCATCTTCCGTCACATGCAAACCAGTCGATAAATCTCCATCCGGACCACCAACTCCCTCGCTGGCTGTATACAACTCCTCGGTTTGCGTGAGCTCATCGCCGGCAGCTGCTCCACTGGTAATTGACGGAGCATCGGCACGACTTGACTCACCCTCGCTGCCGGCAGCCACGTTCTCTTTGGGATAGCAGTCCATCTGGATTTTGATGTACCGCGGAGGGATATCGCTGCGCCGCATGGTGGCCAAGCGTTGGGGACGCAGCGTGGCCTCGTCGTCATCGTCATCGCTGTCGGAGTAAACAAAGCAGCTGGGTCCCGACTTGGAGCGGTTGATGCCCTTCTCGAACAGCTGCCGTCCCTGTTGATATGGCTTCTTGTGATCCCTGCTGGTCACTCCGGTAGCTGAGGCCGATCCGCTCTTCTGCAAGGCGTACTGACGCTGCGTGGAGCGCGGTGAGCCCACACTGCTGCGCAGATTCATGGTGTCGTTGATCAGAGTGGGATCTATGGAGCGCAAAGCATGCTCGCAGTTAAAGCTTTTGCTCATCACCGAATTCTCGCCGTAGAGCTTGAGGGAATCATGAATGCGAGAGGGATCAATTGGCTGATTGCGCTTGAGGGTGCCTTCGTTGGGCTCCGTGAAGGAATTGGCCCCATTTACATAGTCCTGGTGGACACTGCGCTTAAAGTCCTCGAAATCCATGGGCTTCAGGGTGGTATCATCGCAAGTCTCGAAGTTATCCAGCGAAGTCTCGGTTGTGGAGACTGTTGTGGTATTCTGCGTATTGGTATTGGCGGTCAGCGACCCCGTGGCGGTCATAAAGTTGTCCGAACTGCTGCTGTTGGTCGTGGCCGATTGCGTGGAGCTCGACTCAGTGGTGGTCGTGGTGTCCGTGGACGTTTTGCTCGGCGAACTGTCGCTGGAGGACTGCGACGAAGGCAGCTTGACCGGCATGGTTTCGTAGATGCGATCCTTGTCGTTGTGGCGTCTCTCCACCTGCAGCAGATCATCGATGTCGTCCCAGTCCAGCTTCTCAAGGTGATCCAGCTTGGAAGGCAGTGTGCTGGACACACAGCTTGTGCTGGCCGTCGGAGCCTCCACCAGAGTGCCGGAGGAGTCCGTTGTGGTCGTATCCTCGTCGTCGTTGGACACCTTGCCATTGGCCACCTCCTTGCTGCTGGCCGTGGTGTTGGCCGAGGCATCTTCCGGGGTGGTGGGCAGCTCGGAGATCTCGTTCAGGCTGCAGGAGTCGAAGGTCATGCTCTCGGAGAGTGAGACATCCGTGGAGAGCTGATCGACCTCTGCTGTGGTGGTTGTGGGCGGAGCCAGCGACTCGCTAGCTTCGTTTTCCTTGTCCGAGCTGCTTTCCTGGGGGTGAAACTCACATGACATTCATGATTTAAGATGTATTAGAGACTCCACTTACATCGGCAGCCTTGGACACGCGGCAGGAGTTCCTCTTGCGCACCAGGATGCGCTGATCGTCGTCCTCCTTGAGGTGAATCACTCCCTGGACGCCCCAGTAGACGCGCAGTGCTCCTTCCAGCACCAGGCGGTTGTTCACCTCGCGGCTGCGTATTCCCAGGCTTTTGTTGTCGTAGAATTGGTTGTAGACCTGCCCATAAAAAGGGAATTTAATGAGTCATGTTCTCTGTTTTGAGTGCCGCACCTTTAGCTTGGATTCCAGGTGATCGCGAGGGAGTGTGGGGCCATTGGCCTGGCCTCCAGCTGGCTTCTGGGCGCCCTTCAGCCCGTAGCTCTTGTGGGACTCCACCCGGGTGCCGTGGCCAAACAACTGGGGTCCAAACAGAGCTCCGTAGCAGGGCACATGGCAGTAGGGCACGCTTTTGTGCTGGAAAAGGAGATGTTTAGTGATTATCTGACCCAAAAAACAGGTGATCCACACACTCACCTCGGCGTGCTGGCCGGGATTCAGCCGCTTGCCGCACTCCTCGCAGCGCAAACATTCCGGATGCCAATCGTAGCCCAGTGATTGTTTACGTTCCGCTGTTTGTGGGCATAAATAAATATAATTTACAAGTTATTTACGGATCGCAGTGTGTGTGTGTGTGCGTGGGTGCATGTTTTTTACCGAAGTAAACGGGTTTCCCGCACTTGTGGCACTTCCACATTCTGGATTCCAAACAGGTCAGGCTTTGTCCTCCGGGAATGGGCGTGTTTTACTCCTCCTCCGCTTC